TTGATCTGGATCTGTGGGTAGCTGTGCATTATCTGGGTCATAGTAAACTACCTCCCGCACGGCTGGCTCCCTCAAGTATTGAATGCCTCTCTCCATAGCGGTCCCCTTACTTGGTCGATATGTCAAGTCATCCTTGAAGGGATACCTCTCCCTCACACTTGACAGAAGTCACTTCCAGAGACTAAGATTTTGTGTCTCCTTTCCAATGGCTTTGTCCATGCCCCTTTCCTTAGACAGGGATCCCAGCTGCCTCACCTCCCTGCCCTCTAGTTCCATGCTACTGGCCCCGCTATCCCAGGAGCAGCCAGGTAACGAGTTGGTCAGCTGGCTGGCGGTTGAAATCTTCTATGTCTCACAATTCACTCAAGGACAAGCATTGGATGATTATCCCTGCCTCTGCCTCCTACTATTCTTGCGATGGGCCTGGTTCATCATCACCCTGTAGACTGTGAGGGGATTTTCTTCTGTATTTCTTCTTCTGTATGGGAGTAACTGACACTACTGTGGGTTGGTTCTCTAGTTCAGCTGCAGCGCCCATCCTTGGGCTTGTAGTGGCTGCAGTTTCTGTTACTTGGTTAATCTTAAATAGTAGCTTAACTCTGAACAAAACCTGAACCACATTCAGGAACACACTAGCTCCTAACAGCACGGTAACTGTGCTTATGTCAGCATTCCAAAGATATTTGAATCCCCTCAAATTTCTCAAACACAGGCTGTAAATAGCCTTAGGACAGATGACTGCACGATATCATAGATGATCATCATATAGTACAACAGAAACAAAACCTTAACCCACCTCTCACAGAAGGTGAGCAGCTGCGTGGGAAACACATATTGAAAATGAGATGATAAGATCTTAAGGAGCCAAGCCATCCTCGAGCCCCCAGTTAACTGAGCACCAAAAACTGCGGAGGTTTGAATTCAGCCAGCAGCCAGACACCACGTGGCCAGCTCTTCACCTCCCCCTCCTCCCTCTGGTAAGATAGGGGAGGAACAAAAAGAAGAGAATTCGTATGTTGAAAATAAAGAAAGAATTTACTAAATATAATAAGAGAAAACCAGTAACAATAGTGAGTCTAAGAAGAAACAGGTAAAATGCATCAGTGGCTTATCGAATGCAGTGATCGCTTCCTCCCCAGCAACAGCATGGCCCAATGAGCAGATGGCACACAAGCAAACCCCCCAAGTGAAGGGTCCTTCAAGAGTGAGAGCCCGCCCACCTAAATCCCTGGGCATAACATCACATGGTATGAAATACTTCTATGAAAATTAACTCCATCCTGGTCAAAACCAGGACACTAGCCAGAAGATTTTCTTAACAGGTCAACCATCTTCCTGGCAAAGATACTTTTGCCCCACTTAGTTTGTATGAGGATACCACCTGGGCCTTCATTACCTTGATTACTAGCCCCACCCCCACCGTTCTCCTCACCCCCAGAGATCTATACTTGCTTTTGATGCAGTCTGGGTTGCCTCTGGCAGTATCTTTGGTACCCAATGGAAGAAGAAAAAGGGATAGCAGTCAGTGAGTCAGACAAGCTTTCTTTGACAGTTTCTTTACAATATCCTGGATCCAGGCCCCTGGCAGGTAGCAACCTGCTCTAGATGATAGGTCAGATCTTTGACCCAACTGTTTCAGACAACTGTTGATTAAAATTCCAAGATCTATTTCCTGAATTGCAGTTTCCAGATCTTGAGCTCATAATCATGGGAGCATGGTTTGAGATAAGGCAATACATGTTAGGGAAAAAATTATGTATGTTATGGACTTCAAAAACTGGTGTCCCGCAGACAGCAGAAAGTTACTTGTGAAATTTAGATTCCACCATAAGAAAAACTCATAGGAATGTGAGCAATTCCATGAATTGTTTCTTTTTAAACAAATACATTTTCATGGTTGAAATGTCAAAAGAGTTTATTGGTCTTAAGGTCACTCATTGGTAACTGGCAAATTTACGGAGTATGCACAATTTTTCTGAGAAGTTTGCATTTTACAGAAAAATTGTACTTTTTCAAAACCAAATTTTAGAAAAGCAAGGAAATAAGGTATTAGGTTAATTACACTGTAGCCCTTATTTAGTTCCTTCAGGCTAGCCATACAAAATGCATATATCTGCAAGTATTGCACCTGTATTTTCCATTAAGCAATGTTGTTCAAAAGTCAAAGCGATCCTGTTGGAACAAGGATTGACAAGTAGATCTCATACTGGCCATAGGTATCTAGTGTATGGACATTGTAGGCCCAGCTGAGGCTTTGTTAGTTGAAGAATTACTCTGGCTTGTATTCCCATCTAATATTACTTACTTCTGTTTGTATCTTAAGCTAAAGGTCTGTGGTGGGTTGACCTTGGCTGCCTGCCAGATGCCAACCCAGCCGAGGTCAAGTCACTGCAGACTTTTTTGGCAGCCAACCTGGGGCTTGAGGAGTGAGAGATAAGGACAGTAATTGGGAGTGGTAATGGCCAAAACTTAGATTGGACATTGCCACAGAGAAATAACTGTGGGGATTCTTTTGTTGTTGTAATGAGGTAAAGGGACAAGGGGTGGAGGTCTATTGTGTGTAAAACTTTCATTTTTTTCAGTGTTATGTCATTTTGATTTTGGTGTGGGAATTTTTTTTTTTTAGACATAAGTGAAGTTTGTGAAGCATGTGTGATGAATGTATATTTTGACTGTTCTTAAATACATGTGTCATAGACTTGAGGGTGAAATGTACTGATTTTAGGTGCCCAGGTGTTGACAGCCAGGGGCTCCAGGGTTGGTGTCTGTGAAGAGATGCCAGTGCTGCCCCATCCTGGACACAGCTTTTCCAGCCAGCTCCAAAACAGACGCACAGCATGATGCCACTGAGCCCCTGTGCAGGTTTAAGCCCTGCCGGGACCGGAGAGCACGTTGCCGTTGCCACTCCCCCACCCTCAGCCGGTCGGGCTGGAAGCTAAGCACAGACCCCGGGCTGAAATAAGAAGAAATTTAGTACAACAGAGTGATAGAACAATCTGAACAACCACAGTAGCAATGGTAACAACAATAAACAGCAATAACAATGAACAAGACAAACGATATACAGAGAAATAACGCTAGCTGGTCACGGTAAAAGGTTCCCGCCACCGAGCCCGCCAAAGAGTAAAAAGGTTCCGCCCCTGGACCTGACGTCAGCATGGTATGAATAATCCAGCTGGAGATCCCTTCCCCCTCTCTCTCTGCTGGGGAAGCCTAACCCTATCCTAGCTGAACCAGGACAGCCCCCCATCAGCAAGAGTAGTGGCACGTCTGGGAGAATGTGTTTTAAGAAGGGGGAAAAAGCTACATGGCAGTGAGGTATAAGAAAAAAAATTTTAAAAAAGAGAGAAACAACCCCGTGAACACCAAGGTTGTTGAAGAAAGAAGGGTAGAAGGTGTTCCGGCCACTGGAGCAGGTAGGGGAGACTGCCATGGAAAAGTATTTCCCTGCAGACTATAGAGAACCCTATGCTGCAGCAGGTAGACGTTTCAGAAGTAACTGTGGGCCATGGGGGGATCCTACTGGAGTTCTTTAAAGAATGTGGCCTGTAGAGAAGATCCCATGCTGCGGCAGTTCATGAAGGACTGTAGCTTATGGAAGGGACCTCATGTTGGAGCAGGCAAAAAGTGAAGAGGAAGGAGTGACAGATAAGAACTGTTGTGGACTAACCACAACCCCAATAGACTTGCACCCCAGGGGTTGGGAACAAAGGAGTGAAGCTGAACCAGGCTAGAAAAGTGGTAGGGAGAAGGTATTTTAGTTTTGTCTTTGTTTCTCACTATCCAACTCTGTTTTAATTGTCAATGAATTAATGTTCCCCAAGTCAGATCTGTTTTGTCTGTGATGGTAATTGGTAAGTGATCTCCCTGTTTTTATATTGACTCATGAGCTTTTAATCTTACTTCTACCCCTGTCCTGTTGAGGAGGGAGAGTGAGAGAGCAGCTGGGTAGGGGTTTGTCAGCCAGCCAAGGTCACAGGGCTTTAACTTCTTTAGTCAGGTGTTTGTTTTGGATGTCTATATTTGTGTAAATTTTCGCAGCAGGGCAGAAATCAACTTACCACTGGGAAGTGTTAACTCTTCTGGTGTTCAGGTAGTAACTGACTCTTGTAGGCTCCTTTTGTGGAAGTAAAATGTTTTGTTGAAGAAAGTTTGGTATATTCTAAAGTGGGGTTAGAACTAAACTGAAGTTGTAAAGTTTTTTAAACTATATTGCCCGTAAAAGGCTTGTTTAGATGATGGCTCATAAAGTTTGTCTTCTTTCCTAAAAGCAGACTAGAGCATTGCAAAAAAAAAAAAAAAAAGAATGGAAAGAATTGGATTGCCAACTTCAGTCTAAACACTCATTAGAAGATTATCTTTGAAGCTATCTGGTGGTATCTAAATTTCATAGCAACTTGTTAAAGTAACTCTAGAGTTGCTTTATTTAACTGTAACCTTATTTGCATTGACAAGTGAAATATGTCCTTCCTTGTAAAATTAGTGTACTGGGAAACAGTACATATATAAGTTGGCTATACTTCTGAACATTTTTTCTGTGATAGTTTCTTTCAGTTCCCTTTTGTGAGTTTGACTTTTGCCTCTCTCTGATGTTGTTATCCCTTTTTACTGTTTGCTTAGTTTGTCCTCTTCATCTTCTGCATTCCCCTATTTAGCGTATTGTGCTATTCTGTATTCCTCTCACCACCTTCCTGCCCCGATGCCATTGTGAGCTGTCATAATTTTTGTGACTTAAGGCTCTTATTCCTACTGTTTACCTAATCAATTTCAGTTTCCTCAGAACAGGGCCTGCCAAATACTTCTTTTCCTCCCAGCTGTGTCCTGGGTGTCCTATTGTGACTAGAAACTAGCTCTCATTTGTAAATTTTCTACTCATTTGACACTTCATCTCTCCCTGTGTAATTAACAAGCTGATCCATTTTGATGAAAACAGCTTTGATTTTTAATAGCAGAAATGTTTTAATGAATTCATGTTTTATATTCCTTTTACTCTTTTTTAGATGTTAGATGTCTATGACATTCTTCCTTTCGATAATCCAGATGGTGGCGTGTGGAAACAAGGATTTGATATCACATACAATGAAAATGAATGGAACAGTGAACCACTTCAAGTTTTTGTTGTGCCTCACTCACATAATGACCCAGGTAATACTTGAACTATATTAATTTGGGTATCTAGAGGCTTTTGAATTAAGAAGTATATTCTAATTTCTATTAAGATTTGGGTTTTTTGGACCATACTATTTAACATTTTAGATTTAAGCCTGGCAAGGCAGTTAAGCTGATGTATAATCCAAATGCCATTGACTTCAAGTGACAACTGTTATGATGAAAGTTGTACATGTACTTATTTATTAACTGGAGTAGAACTTCATTATTGATATTGGAATGTAATACAGGTTTTCTATGTTCATCCTGCTGGTAAATTCTGACCCCAGTCAGTTTATTCATTGATGCATTAAGTATGTCTTGTTCGTACTTTGACTTTTTGGACTGTTGTAGATAATTAACCCTCAGCCTGTGCTAAAGAGATGTGCTTTTTGGAAGATATGATAATGGCAAATCTGAGGTTTTTGACTGTAACACTTCATTTATTATTTTGTGCACACTCCTGCCCCCAACCTGCAGTGAGATAATATAAAGTCTGGATTTAAACTGTAATCTAGGTATGCTTACATAATTTCACTTCTTCATCCCAAGTGGATGTTTAGTGTGTAATAAATAAAATGGAAAAGTGTTACTTTATTGTGAAATGACTATAAAATACACCAAAAGCAGTGAATTAGAGTGTGTGTTATACTCCTGGTACATGTACACTGATCATGAGAAGCTGGTGAACCTGCTTGTTACTGTGGAAAGACACAATTTTGATAATTTTAAACTTTACTACTGTGTACCTCTAACAATTTAATTTGTTGCTTGAAGTGCTGTGGATCTGAGTGAAGTAAGATACAATAGTTTGAATGTATGACTTCTCACATGTATCTTGCATTTTCAAAGAAAATGAACACTGGAATTGGAAGGGACTGTATTGTTCAGTTATGACAGCCACAATAACGTAGTATGGTTATAGTAAAAATATTCAGAGAAAATAATCATGGTATGAACTTTGATCTGCCTTTTTGTAGGGCTGTCTTTAAACCTGTGTCCATTTAATTCCTTTCTGGTTGTTCCCCTGAAAATTTTCCTATAAGGAAGCCACACTTTGTACAGTCATCTAATTAGTCTGAAACTATCCTAGAGGAATGTACCAACCTTCTAATTCTCCTGGTTCTTATTAGAAAGGGCTGTGGAGTTTACCCTTCTCCCTTCTTTCTGCTGGAGCTAGTGGGATCATTTCCTAATTGAGGGAGGCTGGTTGGTATCCTGCTAGATGCCGGTTGCTTAGGGTCACATCTGTCCTGAGGTGATTTTAGCTGTATTGAACAAACACCCCTTGCACAGTGCAGGCAGAGGTAGCTCTGCAGAAACACAAGGCTTGGAAACTGCAGGGTAATGTCCTACAGGAAGCTGAGAAGAGCTTTGCAGATAACTTTGCTGGTGTCCATTCAAGTCATGAGGTTTAGTAGGGTCTCAGTGTCCTTTTTTTTTTCCCCCTGCAGGTTGTTTTTCTATAGGTTCTAGTAATTTTGGATTTATCTGTTTTGGTTTGGTTTTTGTTTTGTTTTGTTTTAAATTATGTACGTTCCTTCTGTAACTGCCTTCCAAATAGAATATATTAGACTGATTTCCTCCATGGTGCCTGTCCTGTCCTGTCGGTACTCTATGCAGAATTGACCAGTTTCTGTAGTCATTCTGAAGGACTCTTTGGAGCTAACCTTTAGCTTTCTGACCTCTGGTCTTCTACTTTCTTCACATCTAGATTCCTGTCTTGCCTTTTATAATTAGCTGTGGTAGACTTTCACAACACCTTTTGTGTCTGACAAACTTCAGTCTTGGGTGCCTTCTACCTACCCAAATCTACTATTTGGTTCATCCTGTAGCCCAGTTCTGCTTACAGAAGTAGCCCACTGAGCATTTGTATTCTAAGGAATTTGAGTATTGAAGGTACTGGACCTCTTTTCGGGTCAAGATTGTTTTGGTAGATATTAACATCAGTCACTATAAATTACATTCTCCATCACTGTATGCCAAGCAGGGCATACGGTCATGAGGCTGTTGTTGGCTCATCTGGCCAAAAGCAAGAGCTATCAATATCAGGTTCTGCTGGAGGAGGATTCATTAGAGCCTTCAGATTTTTAGTTGTGTCTTTTGGGGCTAGCAGACTGATACCTCTGTATTGTTCCTGTGAGAAGGGTCCCAAAAATAGTGGAATTGTTGGGAGCATGGACACATTTCTTATTAGCCTGCAAATTAGGATGGCAAGTTACCAGGCTCACTTGGTGAGGAATGCCTTGAGCTTTACTGTATATTTGCCATGACACTTGAAATATTATACCTTCTTCTGGAAGGTCAGAAGATAACAAGGGTTTTCTCGAGGTCTAGAGAATGCTGTATGTGGCATGTTTCTCTGTCAGGTTTCAGTTCTTGGTCTGTGTTTAAAAAACCCAAACAAACAGCAAAAACCCAACAAAAAACCCCATCCCAAATACGCAAATAAAAAACCGGAAACAAACACCCCTCCAACCACAAACCAAATAAACCAGAAGCCCGAAATAAACAACACCACCAAAAATAAATCAAACAAAAATCCCTCAGTCAAAACCCCCTCAGCTTCCCACCCCCTTCAAAAAAAGTTTTTGAGTCACCAGAGTTATTAAACTTCTCAGACAGATAAAGCATAGAAACTGTTCTGCAACAGAGGTAGCCTCACCAACACCTTTTCTTGTTTAACTTTTTGTGTTACCAATCATGGAATTTCCTGTGTTTTCCCAGTAGGAATTTTCAAATTACCTAGGAAGTATATTTGTGATGTGTCTGTCTATTTCTTAATTTTACATTGGAATGGTGTCTCTTGGTGGGTGCATTTGAGAGCTTCATTTAGTGAAGTTTCATCTGGTTCGATTTTGCCCTCTACAAACATAGGGGTATGGGCCATAATAAACTTCGCTTCAGATACAGATTTTTACTAGCATTTAGATATCTGTCTTGGAGGATGTCACTCTATAAATCACTAGTAAGGTCATTGTTCTTCCAACTCTCTTGAAAGAAGTCCTCTCTGTGGCTGCCCCTTCAATAATAAGGTTTGAAGAATTCTTTGAAGTCATGAAAACTGTCTGTCATCTTTGCAACTTTTTTCCTGCATAGGTTATTCCCAAGGATTTGCCTGAAGTCTTAACGGGGTTGTTATTAACCTTTGACAGCTGACTTTCTTACTGGTGTCTAGCTTTGGTTTCTACAGTTGTCCTCCTTGATACCCAACTTCTTCATGCCCCTACTGTAAAATTATATCTGTCCTTCCACCAGAAGCAACTAAAATCAAGAAATGTGCATCACCTTGTGCATACAAATCTCCCAGCTTTTTCAGGCTCCTCAGTTGATACCAAGTAGAATTAAACTAAGATTATCCTGATAAATGTAAACTGTTCCATCACCAAAAGTGATCATGTGTGTCTGATTATTGTTCGCTTTTACGAAGAGTGTTATCAAAGAAATTTCTTGACTTAGTACTGCTTTCGGAAAGGACATTTCTGTAGAATTGTCTGCAGTATTAAACTGCATATTAAATAAGCACTTGAAAGAAGGAAAAATTACCTGTAATAGGGAACTGAAATCTCTTGTATCGCTAATAGTCACATTATTCCTCTCTCACAGAGGACTAAAAGGCATGGTGCAAAGAAAATGCCTTCTGGCAAAAAAGCTTAAGGCATAATGAACCTGTAGTGTAGCAATGTATGTGAAAAATATTTACCAAGAAATGGGGTCAGTAAACATATAACTACATTATCTTCAGAACCTTTAAAATCTCATTATATTTTATGTTTTCTCATCTGAGGCTACTTTCTCTTTAAGTATTCACATAAACAGTTTTGCTAGTAATAATCTGTAGCTCAAAGGCAAAGAAACTGACTTGAAACAGAATTCATAGGGAAGGCACTGGTCTAGATTCTGTTCTGGGTGATAACTTATGTGCTGATGCTCTGAAACACTTTCTGTTGCTAAATTCTGCTAAATCTAGGTTAACTGCTTCCGTGTGAGTTCAACCAGGACCTACAAACTTGGGGTCTCCACGCTTACTCTTCAGTAGCTAATATATTTACTTCTTATTGGTAAATTGGGTATGAGAATGGGTCACCATGACACTTTTGTTCAGTGTCAGGTCGTTTTTGACAGTTGATGATTGGAGCATCTCAGTAACATGTCTGATCTGTGGGGGACTTGCCCAGTGCAGAGTAATCTCAAGCCATGGGGAGATGTTCAGTTTGCAGATAGCTGTGTTGTGTGAGGTTATAGCCATCTCAGATGGGTGGCATTTTTCTGGAGCAGATTAATGAGTGATCATATAACCTGCTGTGCTGGCAAAGCCCTTATTTTAGCTCTCATGTCCTTCAACAGCAGTTTCATGTGACTGCCTGAAGTGGATTAGAAAGTGAAACTCCAGAGGGGAGAACCTTGCTCAGGGAGCACAGTGTTGTCAACCAGCACAACTAGGCTTGAAAGATGATGTTCAGAAATGACCCAAGGAGTTGACAGACACCCCTAGCATTTATTGCTCTCTTGGCAGTGATGATTCTGGTAACATTCCTCATTAAATTATTGAAAAATTGTAACTTGTGAGCTTTGTAATATATGTGTGTACCAAATCAGAGTATTTTATTTGCTGAATGTGGTTGTTACAGATCTAGTACAAGCAACACTTAAGTGGAATTGAACAAGACTAAAATAGATTTTCCCTCCTTCCTTGCAAGGTTTTTAAATTAA